GCTGCCTTTCAATTCGGTTGCATGCCCACAAAAGTACCCATCGTCCATTTTAGCCGTGACTTCTTTCTTCTACGCCATCGACTCGCCGTTCAAGTTACTATCCGTTATTCAACCATCGGTACCTGGAGCAACCTCTATCCCAGAAACAAAGGAGGAGCTCGAATGCATCAAAGTCCAGATTGGCGGCCGAGATCATATCATTCTCGAAGGTCAACAAGGAACGAAGGCACAGGTGATGAAAGCAATGAAGGACAGCAATTGGGTTCATCTGGCTTGCCATGGCTCTCAGAGACAGGACGAGCCGACCAAAAGCGGTCTAATTCTCGAAGATGGTCACCTGACTCTGGAAGAGATCATCAAACTCGATCTTCCGAACGCCGAGTTCGCATTCTTGTCGGCATGTCAGACGATGACTGGAGAAGAGACACTTTCGGATGAAGCGGTACATATCGCAGGAGGAATGTTACTGGCCGGGTATCGAGGGGTGGTAGCAACGATGTGGTCTATACAAGATGATGTAGCTCCAGAGGTAGCGAACGAGTTCTATCGACGTATCATGGCAGATGGAGGTAGACCCGACAGTAGGAAAGCGGCAGAGGCACTACACTATTCGATACAACAGCTTCGGAAGAAGGGAGGAATTTCACCTACGACATGGATTCCATTCGTGCACCTTGGAGCATAGGTCTCAGGTCTGACAGGTATGTATATCCTTCCATCATTTCGTATGATACTCATGATCAGGTAGACTCCACACCGATAGCTTGATACGGGATATATATCAAATGTGCTTTTCTCTTCTGAGCGATTTAATTGATTCTTGCGAGAATTCATATCATGGATAATAGCGACTCCTTTTTTATGAAATTTCTTTCTTTATGTTTACTACTTCATAAGGTGTCTTTGTGCAACACCCGCTCCCTGCCTTCAGGACGGTGATATTAATCACAAGTTTCCCGGTCAAAATCAAAATCTTGCAATAAATTCATTGTCCTGAACCAGAAACACGATTACAACCGAATGCATGCATTCTCGCTATGTCTGTGAAATAGAGTGTGATGGTGGCGTCAACCAGCGTTCCTAAACGGGAAGACGCGTACTGCTCTTTCGCCTCACCTCGACCATCCACCCACCCAGCGCTGACCTGCCAGCAAATACTCTTGGCCAATAGAAGAAAAAGGTTCATTAGGAACGTGGCTTGGCTAATGGAGGAATAAAATGGGCTGATTGGGTGTGTTTTGCGTCAGGGGTCTGCTCGTCCCCATCCCCATCTTCTTCTCATTCGTCTCTCGACCTCTTCTAGTGATCTTGATCACTGTAAAGGACTGAAGATCGGGATCGGCGTCTCTACAACATGCAACTCCTTACCTTGTTCAGCCTCGTGCACCTCCTCCTTCTCCAACCCCTCCTCGTGCACTCTTCCCCATCGAATGAGGGCGCACTCATCGACTCACCAACTATGAAACGCGCTAAAGTGCGCAGCGTCGTACCCCGCACGCTCCTCCAAGTAGGTAGCGCCGCGGCGGCGCTGGATAAACGACAGTCGTGCGGAGAGACGTGCTATGATGGAAGTTGCTGTGACGTTGGGTACTATTGCGCTGTTGTACAGGGTGTTTTAGGATGTTGCGCGATTGGAAATACCTGCAGTGAGTCCCGAGGCTACATGAATCACTATCAAGGGGTACTGATGTTTTTGGTAGCGCTTGGGAACAGTGGTTGTTCTCAGTCGGGATACCTCCAATGCAACCACTACAATTTCTGCTGCCGTTCGTTATTTCAATCATTTTTGGTAAAGGCGTATACTGACCTTAGTCCACCAGCTATCAACTGGGCGTGCTCCCTCGGCGCCAATAACGAAGAAGTCTGTGTTCCACCTGATGGTGTCACTCCCAGCAGCAGCATCGCCGTACCTCCACCCACCACGACCAGTACATCGAGCAGGACGACCATTCCGCCCGTGACCACCACCCCCGGTGGCACCATCGCCAACAATGGTAATAGTAATTCGAATACCAATACGAATACCAACATCAATGGTACCCCTGTGATTACGAACGGGGCGATAAGCGCGGTGTCGAATCCGGTCACGCTGCTTATGGTGGTCGCGGCCTCATTGGCCATCACGTTCTTCTGATTTTCCCTCGCGTCATCGGTGAAATATAGGCACCCCTTTCGTACTCTTTTCGAGAGAATAGTGTGCTTTTAGGTAAATGTGCCTGTGTCATTTCGATGGTCGTGTGCATACGGGCTCTCGATCCCATACGATACCACGCGTTGCGTGGTTCACATCGTGATAATAATAGCATACAAGTTTGTACATTTTGTTCTGTTTTAATCCCAAGATGATGGACATTTGAATGCATGGGACTAAGTGAGCTATGGGCTTCTGAGAGATCGCATGCCACCATGGATGGTCCACGAGGGACTCTAAGAGGTTCTTGAGATTGTTGACACTTTTGTAGATAATCGAATGCTACCGGCCAATCATTCTCCGAGTGGACCCAAGGGTGATCCACATGCACCCGGGTCCCATGGAATGGCCGTGCAACCACACCTTCCTTTACTCCGGTCCTGGTCGTCACACCGATTGCAAATAAAATGTCAAAAATACGTCTTGCGCCGATTCCTTATCTCCACTGTACATATGGTCTATTTATAGCACGATAACGCGATACCGGTCCTCTACGCTCGAGCGAGTGGGTGAGGGACCTCTTGGGAAGCGAGTTCGTTGGCGTAGAAGAAAGAAGTCACGGCTAAAATGGACGATGGGTACTTTTGTGGGCATGCAACCGAATTGAAAGGCAGC